ACGGCACTCCTGGAAAAAGCACTCACGTCTCCCTGGGCCTCTGCAAGCACGACCGCTTCCGTGGCCACCGCTGTTTGTGCTCTCGATACCTCGAGAGCGTGAACCATGACGGACTCACGCCCCGCTTCGCGCTAACTGCACCACCGCATCAGCATCGCCAGGGCCTTACCCAGGACCCCAACGCCATGAGCATGACGCCCCATACGGCCATCTTCGACTTTTACTGGCCGACTCCAACTCTGATCCCAGCTTCTAGTGTTTTACCAACTCCCGGAATCCCGGTGGGCCACTAGGAAGTTGGCATTACCCCAGAAGCTGGAATCAGATTTGGAGTCCGCCTACAAGTCGAAGATGGCATTATCGGGCATCATCTTCATGACCTCGGTCCTGGGCATGGTCCTGGGCATGACGATGCTGATACGGTAGTGCAGCAGGCGTCACGCCACCCCTGAGTCCAGCATGGTTCACGCTCTCGAGACCTCGAGAGGATGAACAAGCGTGGACTCACGGTCCGCTTCGCGTTTGCTGCACCACCGCATCAGCATCACTATGGCCAGGGCCATGCCCAGGACCAAGGCCATGAATGATCCCCCATACGGCCATCTTCGACTTGTAGGCTGACTCCAACTCTGATTACTGCTTCTGGCGTTCTTCCGACTCTCGGCATCCCGGCGGGCGGCGAGGGGGTTGGCGGAACGCCAGAAGCTGGAATCAGAGCTGGAATCGGTCTACATGTCGAAGATTGTCGTGTGGGGCGTCATGCTCATGGCCTCGGTCCTGGGCATGGCCCTGGCCATGGCGATGCTGATGCGGTGTTGGAGTAAGCGTCAAGCTGCCCGTGGGTCCATTCTGGTTCACGCGCTCGAGATATCAAGACCTCGAGAGGATGAACAAGCGAGGGCCCACGCTCCGCTTCGCGCTTACTGCACCACCGCGTCAGCATGGCCATGCACAGAACCAGCACAGGACCAAGGCCACGAATATGAGCTACCGTACGGCCATCTTTGACTTTCAGGCTGAGTCCAACTCTGATCCCAGCTTCTGGTGTTCTGCCAACTTACGGCATCCTGGCGACGAGGGAGTTGGCAGAAAGCCAGAAGCTCGAATCAGAGTTGGAGTCGGCCTACAAGTCGAAGATGGGCTGTATGGGGCGTCACCTTCACGGCCTCGGTCGTGGGCATGGCCCTGGCCATGGCGGTGCTGATGCGGTGGTGGAGGAAGCGTCAAGCCGACCGTCAGTCCACCCTGGTTCACACGCTCGAGGTATCGAGGCCTCCAGAAGATGAACAAGCGAGGACCCACGCTCCGCTTCGCGTTTGCTGCACCACCGCGTCAGCATCGCCATGCACAGGGCCATGTCCAGGACCAGGGTGATGAATATGACCCCCCATACGGCCATCTTTGACTTGTACGCTGACTCCAGATCTGATTCCAGCTTCTGGCGTTCTACCACCAACCCGGCGGGCGACGAGGGAGTCGGCAGAACACCAGAGGCTAGAATCGGAGTTGGAGTCGGCCTACAAATCGCGGATGGTCGTGTCGGGCGTCATGTTCATGGCCTTGGTCCTGGGCATGGCCTTGACCATGGCAATGCTGATGCGGTGGTGGAGGAAGCGTCAAGCCGACCGTGAGTCCGCCATGGTTCACGCTCGCTCCCGAGTGGACGAGACCTCGAGAAGATGGACCATGGCAGACCAACGCTCCGCCTTGCGCACACTGCACCACCGCATCAGTATCGCCATGCACAGGGCCATGCCCAGGACCAAGGCTATGAATGATCCCCCATACGGCCATCTTCGACTCGTAGGCCGACTCCGACTCTGATTCTAGCTTGTGGCGTTCTGCCAACTCCCGGAATGCCGGCGGGCGGCGAGGGAGTAGGCAGAACGCCAGAAGCTGGAATAATAGTTGGAGTCGGCCTACAAGTCAAAGATGGCCGTATGGGGGATCATTTATGGCCTTGGTCCTGGCCGTGGCCCTGGCTTTGGTGATGCTGATGCGGTGGTGCCGAAAGCGTCAAGTAAACCGTGAGTCCACCATTGTTGACGCTCTCGAGGTATCGAGAGTACAAACAGCTCGATATCTCGAGAGCGTGAACCAGGGTGAAATCATGGCCCGCTTGGCGCATACTGCACCCCCACATCAGCATCGCCATGGCCAGGGCTATGCCCAGGACTAAGGCCATGAAGATGACGCCCCATACGGTCATCGTCGACTTATAGGACAACTCCGACTCTGATTCTAGCTTCTGGCGTTCTGCCAATTCCCTCGCCGTCCGCCGGGATGCCGTAAGCAGGGCCTTCACCGTCGAAAACATGCCCGCCCGTGATCTTGTTACCAACACTGCGATTTGGAGGGGATGGGGGGACGAAAGCAAGCGACGGTACTTGATGACGTACGGTCGTGGTGCCGGTATAGCGGTTCGCTGTTTAGCGGGATGCTCAGGTTAGCGGTTTCAAATTTTCGTGGCACGGCTGCACTCCAGTATTTACTTACAACAGTATGTAACTGCCAATCCAGCACAGCGGAGATGCCCTCAATAGCTGTCAAAACATTTTCTGACACTATGGACCGCTAAACCGACTGTACGCACGGCACTCTCCGACCACCCAAATTACTGTTGGATTTAATCATGACCAAGACATCACGAATCCCGGAAAAAAACGCTTCACCAACGTTCGCTTCGGAACGCTTCAAGACACTTCCTTGGTTCGGCGCAATATCTGTGGACTCCACTTTAACTTCGAGGGTTTAGGAGCAGCATTGTGCACGGAATGGGTATCTTGTCAATGCGTCAACTATAGACCAGCATGGTGTGTATCTAGCGAACCGTTGCCGTGTGTATTTGACCGCGAAACAATGTTCCCGGCATGTATAGACTACACAACAGTGCCGTGTTAGTCGCCTCGAGTTTACCGTGAAGACCCAAAACAACTAGGACGAAACTCTATCTTCCTGACGAGGGGGTCAATCTATATATTGCAGTCAAAGACAGGCAGTCTGCTTGAGACTAAATGGTTTGCGCGGAGGCAGCCCGAGAAGTGCCAAGAATATCGCAGGAGACCACACCGGCCGACGCTCGTACGGGGCGAGCGAACGCGGTCGGCGGCGCTCATTGCGTCTAGCAGAACCACGTATAATGAAGAGCGCTTCAGGAGTTGCCCGTAATCCGTCGTTAGCAGACGAACCAATCACAATACGGTATGTAGACTACAGCGTCTCTGCCCTGGTGTTGTAGAATGCCCTGTGTTCGACCAACCGGGAGGGACCTTCAATGCACCCAGGTGCTACGAAGGTCTGAGAGCAAAACATCGAGCGTCAAGTTCATCGAGGCCACACTTGCTTGACCCCGCGTAGAAGCAAAAGGCGGCATTGGTGTGGGAACCGCAAGCAATTGAATGTGCGCCAATCACGGTGCTCGGCGATGAGCGTACAAAACTTGGATTGGCGGGACCAGACCTGCCCCGGTTTGTCTCACCTTGCTGAAGGTACCATTCTACCGTGCTGAAGGTCTTGGAATATCTCTTTCGAATCTCGTAAGCTTGTCAAGAATGCAAAAGAGAAAGTGAGAAGTGCGCTGGCACGAGGGATTGCAAAGGGCTGCGAGGAGTTCGACGAGGTTTCGTCGGAATTGTTGCTATTCGGCGGGTCCGTTCCATTCCCTCTTCTTGTTGCTGCTCGCACCGTTCCCCACAACATATACGCCGACGAGCGCATGCTGGTTGCGTTGACCTCTGCTAAACGAGGAAGGTGGGGCTGCACACTTCACTCATGCGTCTGTTGTCCCTTGCGACCTACTTCACCGTCTGGACTCAATTAACCTTCCGTCTCGACAGGCGGCCAGTGCGGCATGCCTTGGATGGGGGGATTTTGGCATCTCGGTCGTTCTTCTAGATTGTTGCGAGAGGCCTGATATTACCGAATGATGACGGTTGGTCGGGGATCGTTCGTGCGGGGTGGCTGACTTGCTGGGAGGGCCATGATTTAGATATCGGGAACCGAGTGTAGAGCCATTCTCTTGCTGTTTTTTGTTGTATCTTCACATATATATATATAGAGTTGCGGTCTCGCATGCAGTACCTTCTAGGCCGTACAGTCCATCTGACGCGGACGCCTTCGTGATCAGAAGCCAGCCAACTGCCGCCCCAAAAGGGGGGGGTACACCTTTCCGAAATTCGAAAAACAGATGGACCCCAGAAATGTCCTCTAAGGCGCGAGTTCCCTAGCAGTGATAAAAGATTTCATGCAGATTTATGTATTTTGAATTCGAATCGTGGAGGTTTGTTGGGCTGTTCGAAAAACGCGTCGTCAGCTTCGTGAGCTTGTTCGAGCTCACTAACTGGTGGTAACTGGCAGGCGATTCACATCAATACGTGCCTTTCCTTTCATCTTGCATCACACCTCCCTTGATTTCACTGTAAACATGCTTTGATGAGTCCACACCGGAGGTGCGCGTGTATGTATTGATCTAGGTACAGAGCTGCAGCGTACCGCCCTGAGAGTACTCAAAGACAAGGCAGCCGACTTGAATACTTTTGTGAAGAGGAGGGGGGAAATGCGACGTATCATCGCGTGGCTTGTGCGGATGGATACCACTACGAACGCAATGTTCATTATCTTTGTTATACTTCGGAAACAAGGTCAACTACCCCAGGGGTACTATAGGCTTCTAACCTATATTTTTCATTTTATATACAGAAGTGGTTACCCTTGTTGGTGCTGGCCACCCCGGGGCACTCCGGCTGCATCTGCCGCCACGCCTCTTGTTAGTATACCCTTGTATGTGTGTTGAAGATGATGGTATCACTTGTATTAAGGACAGCAGACACGAACAGGACGCGGCGGGAGAGAGAGAGTGCCACGACACAGCTAGCACTCCCGCAGGGTCGAGTCCCGTGGGTCAACCATGAAACCAAGCCAGGGGACTATCAATTCCTACCTGCGTAGCCACTTCCTACAGTCCCGTTGGAATATTCTCATCCGCTCATGCACACACGAACATCCTCCCTGGTTCTTTACGCTAGTAACTAACCACTTAGTGGGCATTCACACGCCGGATGTGACCAAACAAACCAAACGGACAAAAGACCAACAAAAAAAAACAACAGGGGGAAACCCGGCCTCCGGGTCAAAACCCCCACCAATATTCACCGTTCCATCAAACGCCCTATCCCAACGCTTGGCAAGCAGTAAAAGTGCAAGACTATCCTGAGGAGTTGGTTCAAACAACTACAATGCGGCTGCACTACTGTTTGTTCTTCAAACAAACATCAGACGAACATCGAAATCGCCCCCGCTCGCTGATGAAATACAGCGCACAGGGGCGGAAGGCAATCATCCAAAATTTTCTGAGCGACACATAACCGGCATGCATTTTTTCGGCAATCCTCTATTCTCGTGGAGGACAACACTGGTGTCCCAAGTTCAGCGGTTCCAACAGTATCCCATATTCCTGCACGTTGCGCAACCTAGAGAACGGCACCACGTAGCCACAATCAATGAGGGTCTCAACCGAATGACTATCAGGAAATACTGAACATGTGGGCGCGAACGCCTACGAGAAACACGGAACACCCTCCCTGGCTCTTCAACCAAAGTACAGTCATGACAACTCACGAGGATTTACCAACTTCGCTACGAATATCATCAAACACCAAATACCGTCAAGAAAGAAGTGCCACAATCCAGCGCTGTGATGCGTGTTCCTCCCCTCCCAGCGCTCGTCCCGGCCTGTAGCCTCGCCACAAAAGGGGTTCCCGTTTTAGCACCACGATGCAAGTACCCTACCCCCACGCGCCTTCCGACGTGCCGCGGGGTTCCCGCTCTCGCCCCTTCCGATGCGCCACGGGGCTGCTTCGATTTTCTCTCCCCCTCACGCTCCGTCCGACGCGCCATGGGGCTAATGTTTGCCTCCCCCCCACGCCCTCCCGACGCGCTATGGGGCTGCATTGATTGTCGCCCTCCCGCGCCCCTCCCGTCGCAGCTGCGAGCACACGGCCCTCCCGCCGTGTTATTTGGTTGTTGCCCTCCCGCGCCCCTCCCGTCGCGGCTGCGAGCACACGGCCCTACCGCCGTGTTATTTAGTTGTTGCCCTCCCGCGCCCCTCCCGTCGCGGCTGTGGGCACACGGCCCTACCGCCGTGTTCTCTGAATGTTGCCCCCCCACGCCCCTCCCGTCGCGGCTATGGGCGCACGGCCATCTCGCCGTATCCTTCTCAATATTGCCCCCCCCACGCCCCTTCCGTCGCGGCCATGGGGCACACGGCCTTGCGGCCGGTTTTCTGTGTCTCCACCCTTCCACGCTGTTGCAATGGTGCTATCTTCACCATCTCCTACTGCTGCTGTGTGTGGATGGTGCGCGCGTAGTGACCAGCGCGGATATTGTGTCTTTCCCCCGCCTCTTCTTACAAGGCCTCACGTGCCACATCCAGCTCCTCGTCATCGCTCGCCACCGCAACCGCCATGACCGCCGTCTCGCCCTTCGCCTCCTCCTCGTCCTTCGCCGACGGGCACTTGCTCTTATCGTGTCCATACCCGTCGCAGTTCTCGCACTGGGTCATGAAGTCGGCGATGGGGGTAGTGCACGAGAACGACTGGTGCCCTCGCCTCTTGCACCGGTAGCACCGGCCCCTACGACGGCCGCCGTAGCTGCTGCCGTCTCCACCGCCGTTGCCGTTGCCGTTGCCGCTGCCGCCATTTTCGCCGTTTCCGCCACCGCCGCGTCCCCCGCGGCCGCGGTTGCGACCAGCTTTTCCGCCGCTGCCATTGTCGGCGCTCACGAGTAATCCCTGCTCAGACGCCTTGTGATTGTTGCGGTTGCTGTTCCGATGGCTCTTCCCCTGCTTGATGCTGGAGTGCTGGGAGCCCACCACTCTGATGACCTCTCCCCGGTCCAGAGTCGGTGCGGACTGCAGAGTCAGTTTGGCATGGTCGTACTCGGCCGGTAGGGCCGAAAGGAAGAGCGACAGCACGTAAGAAGCCTCGACCCTGACCCCTCTCTCGTTCAGACGACTTGCGAGTTGCTCCATGGCGATAAGCGATTCAGTCGGGTTTTTGTCGGCCGGCATTGCGAAGTTCTGAAACTTGCTGAGCAACTCCTGTGTGGCTACCTGCGATTCCGGGTTGTGCACCTTGTCGAGTTCATCCAACGCCTGCTTCGGCGTCACACATCTCCCGAAGACGGCCTTGTCTGGCTCCCTCACCAGGGCCGAGGACAAAAAGTGGAAAGCTTGGAGGCTGCGGTGGATCTGCGCCTCGGAGTACCCCTTTGCCAGCAACGTAGCTTTGGGTTTGTTCATGTCCCCGACGTCCGGCTGGGGTTCCGTGGCCCCTACGAGCTGGCCGTCCATGTCTACTGTTTTAGCAGCCTGGATAGAGGCCCTCCTCCACGAGTAATATCCCTGGCCGCCTTCGAGACGCGGCGCGTGCACTGACACACGCATTTTGCTATACGGGTTCTGGTGAAAACCATCTCCTTCTCCGACGAATCCGCCAAAACCACCGGTACCGCCGCCATATGTCTCGGTTGTCTCACCTTGGGGGAGCGATCCCCTGTCACGTCCGCCACCCGGCCCAACCGCCGGGTCTGAGGGTGGCGTGATTCCCTCGTTTTGCGGTGCCCCCTCCTGGGTACCGCGGGTGGGCGCATCGCCCGTAACGACAGCGCCCACCCCAGCGCCGCCGGACTCCCCCTCCTTCTCTAACTTTCCGAGGGCGGATCGAAGCAGCCCAGCCAGCTGCTGTACCTCGTCCGTCAGGCCTGAAACTTTGCTCTCCAGGTTGTCAACTCTGCCCTGCGTACTAGTGGTGACGTCGGCAGCCTCTGCTGCAACATCGGCGCCACTCATCCCCAGCACGGGTTCACTCGAGGGATACACTCACTCTAAAGTGTTAGTATACCCTTGTATGTGTGTTGAAGATGATGGTATCACTTGTATTAAGGACAGCAGACACGAACAGGACGCGGCGGGAGAGAGAGAGTGCCGCGACACAGCTAGCACTCCCGCAGGGTCGAGTCCCGTGGGTCAACCATGAAACCAAGCCAGGGGACTATCAATTCCTACCTGCGTAGCCACTTCCTACAGTCCCGTTGGAATATTCTCATCCGCTCATGCACACACGAACACCTCTTAACGGTCATCGTACGTTTGGCTGCCGTGGTTGTTGGCGAGCGCCTCAGGGTCCTGAGCAGCGGAACGAACAAACTAAGGACGGCGCGTAGACAACCACATGGTATCAGTCAAACGTTGGGTTTCGAATCTTTCAATATTGGTAAACGACGACGCGTGGTGGTATGCAGTCCGACTCGAAGCGAAAGCGAGACGAGGAAGAAGAACAACGAAAGTGTTCGCTGCATCTATTCATAGTGACACTGACGTACGTACATCGTCTTGCAGCCCAAGGACATTTCTTGAGGTTGTGAGGAAGGATTCACAAATTAGTATAAAGTCAAACATGCGTACGTACACAGGTGCATCCGTTCATCCCCCACCTGTGCGAAGCAGACGAAGACGGCGTTGTGGCCGGAGCGCAAGACGGACATGGTGATCGAGAAGCACACCGCCACCAGTACGAAAAAAAACACCAAGACCACGAACATGATGAGGCCGTCCCAGCTGCCGGAGAACTGCACGCCCGTCAACATCACCAGACTCGAGCACACCACGACCAGGTAGGTAGACATCAGGCCATTGGTGAACAGGAACAGCCCGACACCGACAATGTCGTCGTTGGCGATCATTGTTATTCCGCGCCTCTGGAACAGCTCGTGCACTCGTCGAAGGGCTGCTTGCAAAGGAAGAGGCGGGACGGACGGACGGAGGCTCAGTAACCGCTCAGATAGTGCACAGCTGTTACTGAATGCCAGCCATCACGCACGCCCTGCTTCATCATAGCTGGTTGTGTGGGAAAGAGGCGCAGGCCAGACGAGTGAAGCACGGATTTACAGCGCATGAGCCACCCTTCACGCGGCAATGATGAGACCGTTAGCAACCGAAAAAGAACCATTTCACAGACCAGTTAGCGAATATGACTGGGTCTGGTTTCGCTGAAGGTCTCAGCCTGTTCGGCAAAGATGAACGGGTGCCGCATTGGCTCCCAGCACCGTGCAGTGCTCCGTCTGCAAACGAAAGCCGACTATCTACCGCCACCAGGGGGCTGGGAGAGGCTGGCATGACATATAAAAAACATGCCTTGTAATCCAAGTGTCATGTGCTCCACGTGACTCCGGCCCACGAATGTGAGCCGGGTCACGCTCATGGGCAGCCCTTGAAGTGCCTTTGGGTAGCCCATCGGAACGGCTGCCCATGGGCTGATAAGCAAAACTTCCAGTAGCGCGGGAGATCGGATGCGCCCCCACACCTTCCGAAAAGTCCAACCCGTAGATGCCGATGAAACAGACGGCGTAGGCGGAAGCGAAGCCGACGGCCTCCCGAAACCTGCGGAGGAAACACCTGAGGCAGAGAGCGTGGGAGACCAGGCGTAGGGGGAACATGGCCACCCGTATCACGGCCACAATCGCAGCAGCCTTGCACAAGGACCTGGAGCGAACGTGCGATAGAAAATGCCGTAAGAGGTTAGGGCGGTCCGGCCTCACGCAAGGCGGTGCACGTGATACGAACGGGAAGGGTAGCCCTGGAATGAATGGATGGGTGGCGTTTGAAGCCTCTGCAAGTGGAAATGCCTCTCTTTTCAGCGACAAGCTGTCCAGTCGAGGCAAAGGATCGTGAGGGAGAAAATTCAACAAGCCAGCCGCCGGTAGTACGCCCGACCGAACGTGCATACTATCTCCGAGCAAGGGCGAAAGCCTGATGATATGCTCCGCGATCAGCTATGAAGCTACGCCATGTTACAGCCGCAAGCAATCTGTCCTC